GGGCAGACACAGGGCCCAGAGAGGTGGGCTGAGTGGTGAAAATGTGACTCTCGGACTCAAGGTCACTGGCCGCTTGTTGGCCAGTGATCGGACTCTGGGGCAGCAAGCTCATTTTAGTCTCTGCATCTGGTTTGCTCCCTTGAAGTGAGGTTTAAATCTCAGGCTCCAAGGCTAACAGACCGGCCGTGTGACCGCAGATCCTGGAGATGCCCCGGGCTTCCTGAGGCCAGCCAAGCGGCCAGGGCAGAACAGGTGTTGTGGGCTGGGGCCTCACGGTCATGGAGGCAGGGCAGGCTGGCTGTGTGTGGCCAGGCCTGGGAGAGGAGTCCCGCCCTGGGGCTGTGCCACCACCTGGCGAGCCAGGCACACTCTCTCCCGTGGACAGTCTCCTGAATCAGGGCACCCCTGGCTCATTTCTGCAGGGTCTGCAGGTCAGGAGCATTTCTCCACCTGCAGCGAGTGTGCGTCGGGCGCCCCTGTCCAGCTACAGCTCTGCTCTTGGCCTGCCGGCTGCCGGGTCCGCCTAGTTCACCAGGTCTCACTAACTCACTGTTCACTGGTGCTCAACACCAGCGTGGATCTGGCTCTCCGGGGCCTGTTCCTTCGGGGAATGTCCTCAGCTGAGTCTGCCTGGGTTGATGGGCCCCAGTCCTCAGCTGCCCTGCGGGGAGCCCCCTGGAGCTACCTTCCAAACTGCCTCTAGGCCAAACACTCCAGAAGTCTCCCAGCCAGCTGGAAAGTGATCCGACAGGGGTCTCAATAGTTGTCCTTTCCATAACAAATCAGGAGAGACAAACTCAATTTGTTTAAAAACAAAGGCCTGCCTTCCTTTGGAGGCTGCCCCCAGTGCCACCTGCCAGGTGTCTACCCTGCGCTGATGGGCGGCGGGGCTCCTCTCTGCTCTCTGGATTTACCAACATGGAAGAGCTCGGAGGAGCCAGGGCATGGTCCCTCTGGGTGTTTTCTCTGAGGCCACTTGTGTTAAGACGTCCATGTCTGCATCACTCCCGGGGAAGCCAGTACCAGAGGAACATGCAAGGGGACAGGCCGTGTCTCTCCACGGATCTGCAAGGGTCTTCGAGGAAACATGTGTGCCTAAGTACATTTTATGGATGAAGCCAATGACTGTGGCATTCAGTTCATGGTGGCAAGCGGGCGGGGATATCCTGTGACCCTGGGGCCTCTCCTGTTTTTGGTGGGCAGGACAGCAGGTAGGGGCTGTCTGGGGTGTCCTGCCCTCTGTGGAGCTGGTTAGCAGTGATTCGCTCTCCACTGGGCCCGGAAGACTAATGCTCTGTGGTCTGCAGGGCCCTGGAGGATGCAGCAGCCCAGGAAGCCCACCTCCTCTGGCCTGTCCCCTTAGGCACCCGTGGTCACTTTATGAAGCAGCTCGGCCCTGCAGGGTGATAAAGAGTGGACTGCACTCTGGGGCCACCGCGGTGGGGGTGCGGAGATACAGAACACAGCTTTTCTCCACGTGCGCTTTGAGAACCAAGCCCACAGAACTGAATGGTCACACGGAAATTTTATTTGGAGTCAACTATGTCTCGGGCTGATGGGTCTTCTAAGACTCTACAGGAAGAACTAAGGGTTCCAAGGTGTGTGTGGAGGATGATTTATCTTTTTGCTTGTCTCCATTGGTCTCAGTCTTCAGGGCCTGGCAGGGTGGCCTTGTGGAGCTGCAGGATGTGGAGGTGGCCTTTGGAGAGCCTTCTGTCATTTAATAGCTGAGTGTCTCAAATGCCAAACACCCCCTACCCTCCAAGGCGCAGCACCCCCACCTGGGAGCCCTCCAGGGAAGCAGGACATAGGCCTGGAGCTTGGTCATCACAGAGGCTGCCCGGGGAATGGACACGGTGAGTGCCCCCCACTGTCCATCCATGTCGTCTGGATGACCGTGTGGACGGACAGAAGGCTGCTGTGTCTGGGGGCTTGTGGGGGTGCCATGCTGCTTCTACTCCCAGGGGTGGAGGACCCACGTTTCAGGGCATCAACCTGTCTTGTTGCACAATAACTAAGTGAAGGTGGGAAATGTCGATGTTCAGAATGTTATTTAATAGTCTTTCTGCTGCTCAGAACTCAGAATGCCATTATCTCAAACTTTCTTTTTTGGACTTTGGAATTTTCAGGAACGATATCAAACACTTTTATAGGTGTGGAGTGAGTCGAGTGCATACATTAGGTGCTCAAGAAACACTGAATAAATGTCCTTGACATAAGTCACGTAAGACCCAAGAGTCAGGTAGGGAGCCTTTCTTTTGTTCTAGAACAACATATTTGGTCTTTGGTTTCCTAACAATTGTCACGGCCCCGAATGTGCAGGGCCTGAGCTTGCCATCGCGTCACCGTGACGAGCCAGGAGCCGTCCACAAGCCCCCTGCCTGCATGATGCCCTCCCACCTCCCCCAGACACTGGCCTTCTCAGGCTGGCGGGGGGTCAGCGGGGTCTCATTTGCTGTAGCCCCGGCGCCGGGCATACAGTCGTTGTTCAGTAAATGTGAATGAGTGGACAAGCGACTGAAGGGGTTCCCAGGAGTCCCCGAGAAGGTGTGACCCTGTGACTGCTGAGGGCTGTATCATTTTAAACACTAAGCTTCAGGTGGAGTTAAAAGACCAGATAAAATCTGGGTACACAAATTAACGAAAACTGGCGCTGAAATGCCAATGGCTGTCCCTGGGAAGGCTGTTCTGCGGCTTTCGTGAGAGTAACTTCCAGGCCAGCAGCACTTTGTCAAGACGCTTCCAGGTGATGGCTTCCCCCTGAGACGCAGGTCAACGGGCTGCACATTTACCTCTTTCCTGCCAGAAGGCCTTCCTTGATGTCTTCTGCGGACAGTTTTCATGGGAGACCAAATGAAGACAGACCCTGCCTCCTCGGGGAGCTCACCCCCGCGGTCCCAGTGTCTGGCGGGGTCCCAGTGCAGCAGTGAACGAGTGTCATGGGGGGAGGGACTGCCTTCTTGAAGCGCCGCCGTGAGGCCTACAGCTCCCTGTCCTCCCAGAGTCACACTGCTCTTTCCAAATTAGCAGGATGCGCAGGGGCTGTGCCAGGCAGGGGCCGAAACTGCGTGGCTCTCTGGTCTCTGCTGCTCCCCTCCAGCCTGAGCCGCGGGGCCCTCCCGTCCCCAAGCACCGTCTGAGGAGAGGTATCCTGCAGGAGAGGCGGGGTCTGCGCCGGGCACCCTTCGCCCTGCAGGACGTGCGGCCCCAGGAGGCTGCCTTTCCATCCATCACCCTTATCTGGCTTCGGAACGTATCACGGTTACTTGGCACACGATTAATTCTCCAATTGTGTTTTTTCTTCTCAGCTAGCTTTAAAGTTAGTTCACTTTTCCTGAGCGAATGCCAGCCGGCACAAGTGGGTGCTGACCAAGAGAACGCCGAGCAGCCTGGGGATGCTGCCTGCACAGGACCCCCGGGGACACGGGGTGCCATGCCCTTGGCCTCCTCTCTACCTCAACCTGAACTGGTCTGTGATGCACAAGTGGTCACAGAAAATAGTGAGCTTTGGGGCCCGAGAGCATTTCAAAGCCAATGCGTGGATTCCTGCGCATATTTCCCCGGGTCCCCAAGAGTGTCGTGGCTGTGTTAGCCATGACACAGCACAACGGGGTGACCTCTTCTGTCTGGCTCTGATGCGTGGGTTCTCTTCCCTGGCCACGTGGCAGGAGGCAGGCCCACCGTTGCCCCGACAACTGCCTCTGGTGGGCCTGGGGCCTGTGCCAAGGGCAGGATCTGCACAGAGCTCTGGGCCCGGCCGTGCCCACTCGCACTTACACTGGGGTACCAGGCCCACATGATGGGGCAGATACCTGAGGACACCCTGCTCTGGGCCATGCCGGGGTCGTACGAGAGGGGCTCACTTGGGTGGCAGGGGCCAGCCTGTACCCCGGCTCCTCCAGGCCACCCCTGGGCACCCACTGGATATAACCCTCTGCCTAGGCCAGAGGTGAGAGAAATGGGGTCTGGGGGACAACTGGCTAGGAAACGCAAGGGTCAAGTTTATTTTACGTGAAGACAAGGCAATCTATGGTCCCTGGAGTGACAGAGACACAGACACACAGAGGGAGAGAGACAGACACAGAGAGACAGAGACAGGGAGCGCAAGTGAGCTCAAAACAGGGTTAGGGAATCAGGGGCCTTGAGCCGACGACTTCTGTGTCTGAAAGCCCCACCGATATTGTTAGGCTACATGACATTTAGTAAACTTTTGAATTTAAAAGCATATTCTTGCTTTTTATTGGTTTGTTTTCATTATTAGAGTTTGTAAAAAAAAAAAAAAAACAGGCAATTTACCAAAATTAACTCCTAGTAAAAGTGATTTACACAAAATGCTTGAAGTCAGCAGTGTGTGGGGAGGGAAGGTGTCTCCATGAGGCAGGAGAACCCCTGGCTCACTGTGCTGGCGGCTGCACTGTGTCCCAGAACCCTGGAAGCCCAAGCACCTGCTGCCCATCTGCCCGCACACACGTGTGCACATGCAGTCCCACACAGTCCCACGCGGAGGCTAACCCCACAGCAGGGGTGCTACAGTGGACCCGTCAGCCTCAGCGACCCATACACGTCACACAGGCTGGTCCCCGGGCACTGGGCCCTGTGCTCGCTGCCCCCCGACCACCAGGGGAAGGGCCGTAGCTCCATCACTGGGTCTGGACCCCGGTTTTCAGCCCTGCTCGAGGGCAAGGTCTCCCGAAACATGCAGTGAGCAGGAGTTAGGGTTAGGTCATCAGCACTGATCTGCTTCTTTAATGATTAATTTTTTTACCTGTATAAATGTTTGAAGTTGGCTACAGTTTTGAATCTACTGCCTCTGAATCCCTCACATTTTAGGATCTTAATTTGACCCTTTTTAGGGTCCATCAAAGGTCTGAGTTTGGATGGTGGCATGTCCCGTGAGGGCAAAGAGAAAAACAAAGAAACTAAAGGAAACATCACAGGATGGCTGCCTTTTTAGAAAAAATTAAAGTTCATTTTATTTTTCATTTCTATGATTTTTACAACTGAGACTTCCTCCTGTTGCTACTTGACATCTGCTCTTCCCCCACTCCTTGCTCTGGGTTCTGGTGCTTTCCATTCCCTCGTCACCTGGGGGGCTCTGGGCTGCTCTGACCACGTCCCGCAGGAGGGACGCTCACCTGGCGGAGGCCATCTGCACAGAGGGAAGACGCCCAGATAGAACCTGCACGCCTTGCAGACTCAAATCCAAACTGCTAGTCAGTGTCACAACCCCAAAAATCACATTCTGAGTAGACAAGATCTGTAATAATTTATCGAAAGCCTTGCTGCACCGTAGCAGACGCAAGGAATGTGCACGGCTGATGCACACAACCTGACTACAGGCTTTCAAAGGCAAGTGTCTTCCCAGCATCTGGACACAGCAGCGGATACCCGCCAGGTTTCTGAGCGAGCTCGGGAACCGAGGGGGCTCTCTGTGGCGACCACCAGCCTGTTCACCTCCAACCCGGCTCCTCCTGTTGCGAGGACAGCCTCTCCCACACCGCAGGAGTGCACAGTCCAGCCCAGACCCTGTGGGCATCAGAGGCGCAAGGGTCAGGTCCTGCATCCGCTCTTCCCTGTGTGCTGCCCTCATGGCCCGTCTGCCAGGTCACGGCACATGCCACCCTTCCTCCATTCAGTTTCGGCTAAGCATGTTCCGTCCCAGCACTAGGGTGGGCCTGGCCCAGCCGCCCGACTCCAGAGCACACTCTGGGTGGCCAGACCTGGACACAGCAGGCCCTCAGGCAGACGCCATGCCAGGAGTGCAGCCCACAGAGCGACTGCTGGCACACGTGGGGCTCCCCACCCTCCTCCACGTCGTCCTGAGGCTCCTGGGCACCTCTGCCCACTCGCCCCTTCCTTCTGGTTCCCAAGGCTGTTCCAGGGATCAGGCATCTCTGCCTCCACGGTAACCTCGGCGCAGAAAGGGTGCCAGAGTCCCCTTCCCCCATTTATAGGCGAGGCCTTGGCAGCAGGGTCTCCAGACCTATTTGTTCCTTTCAGCTGGTGTCTGTCATGAGAGTTTACACATCTGCAGAACGCCCGCACTGGCATGAACGCAGCTAACCTCTGGTCGCCCACGAGGAGTGTTTACAGGACCCGCATGGCTCTGCTGGACAACCAGGGCTGTCCAAGTGACCAAAGCGTGTCCCACAACTGTGCAGAGGGAAAAATCCTTCCACAGAGCAAGACGGACCAAGGGAGGGGCACCCAAGAGCGGGAAGATGCCCATGCTCGACGTGCTTCCAGATCCGGCGCTGCGCCTGCTGAGCTGAGAGGCGCAACCGATCACCCACACAGCTCTGAGAGTGACTCCGTCCCTTCCATCTGAAGGCCTGTGAGGACGGGTCTCCCTCTGTACTTCAGCCAAGACAGATGAACGCAGAGGCACGCCGGAGGGTCTGGCTGTCTTTAATAAAACCAGACATTAAACAGATTTGCAAAAGTAATACAAGGCTACTCCTAGTTTTTTGCAGGGGGAAATAAGGGCTTTTTGAATAAAAAATGTTAATCTGTAGTTGGTATACTGTTATTTTAAAATAAATACATATTTAAAACTTCTCTCACTTAAAATTTTCAATACAGTAAAAAGGAATCCTCAATAATTTTTAAGTGGGAAGGGATCTAAGGCCAGAAGAGTGCGAACTGCTCCTGAAAGAGTAATGTGGCTTCTGGGTAAAAAACCATGGTTTCCGCGACTAATTTCTGTCCTTACACATTTGGCAGAGTCCACGTGGCTGGGGAGGTTTGTCGCACAGTGATCGCTGCCTCTTTGTGAGGGGAAACCATTCATGACCCAAGCGGGTCAAGGAAGTCACTACTAAGACATCTGTGCACTCAGGCTCAGGAATACACGTCCAACAGCCCGCTCACCATGATGTGCCACCAACATTCTCGCGGGGGCTGCCGGCCGAACCTCCAGAGCCGAGGTAAAATGTCTCAAGTCAAGAAGGTCAAACTGAAAGAAGGAAAATTCAAAAAAAAAAAAAAAAAAAAAAGCGAGGGAAGAAGGTTTGTGAGGACAACGTAAGAGTCTGACTCTTCGGGAAACGTTTTCATAACAAAATAAAACTGTAACCCTCACCGGCACCTTCCAGAAGCCCCTCAGCCGCCGCAACGGTTTCCTTGGCACAGCTTCCCCCTTCCTCATGGACTCAGGTGTCCCCAAGAGCACAGTGGCTTGTCACCTGCTCCGCTGTCTGGGACTCGAGGGTGGAATCAGCTCAAGAAGGTTCCAAGCTTATTTCCGTGGCTCAGTCTCTCCTAATGTCCCCTCACACATGACAGGCTTTAATCTTGATTTAGATTGTTCGTTAAGGGCTGTGGCTTGAAGCATTCGGTTCAATAAACAGATTGGTGGCTTAATTTAATAGAACTATGTGCTTTTCCTGTATTTTAAAGCTACAGGGACCAAGACAAGAGAGCATGTGACTCAGACCATTTTATAGGAACTTACAGATCGGAGGCTAACCAGAGGCTAAGACGCCGAGAGGCTGAATGAGCATCAGGAGCAGAGCTCAGGCAGTTCTGCTCCTGGTACTCAATTTGTCTCATGCAAAATGGGATGAAAAGACAAAGTGCACAAACAGCCAGTGAGAAAACCTACAGTCACCCAAATCTTCCCAGCGACGTTCCTTCCCTGGATTACTCTGTTCGGTTTCATTGAAAACTATTAAGATTTGATGGCCCCCCAATGCAGACACCCCATTTGAGATGAAGGGCACATGGATGTCTGTGCCTAGCGTGAAGCAGTGGCTAACATGCCCTTGGAGGTCCTGCGGGCCAGGCCAGGCTTGCCCTCAGCTTTGTCTCCTGGCTGAGGGGCCACTGGGGGCGGGCGGGAGATATGCCAGCCCCACCCAGGCCTGGTCGCAGGCACCACGAGGGATCTCCAGGACTCATCAGGTGTCCCACAGGGTCTCCAACCTAAGCCTCCCCAGGCCTTTGAAAGGGGCTTCTGGGGAAATCACAAACAAGTGAAGATCAATCTGTTTCGAATGGCTGTTCCTTGTCTTTTTTAGTTCAGATGACGGCCAAATAGAGAAGGTTAGAGTTAACTTTTTAGTTTTTATCTAACATTTAATAAAGCCGCCATGATGAGAGAAATCACATTCCTGCAGTGGCCTTCAGAACCACACGGCGCTTGAAACCGGGGCTGTGTCGGCAGGTGGGGAGAGCGTGGTGCCCACAGGCTGCCTGGACCAATGGCTGCGAGTGAGGGTGGCTGCTGGGGGGACAGGGACACAGGCCCAAGGCCTCGGGCGTCACCAGACACTGAAGGGGATTTGGATGAGTAGCCTTTCTAATAATTTAGGACCTTCTTGTATACTTGGCTCAAGAGGAGGGAAAAGAGGGGCGCCTGGGGGGCTGTCAGTTGAGAGTCTGACTCTTGGTTTCAGCTCAGGTCACGATCTCAGGGTCGTGAGATCGAGCCCCATGACGGGCTTCACACTTAATGGGGAATCTGCTTGTGCCTTCCCCCGGCTCCTCTCTTGCACCCTCGGGCATGGGCTTTCTCTCCCTCTCTTGCTAAAGTAAATAAATAAAATCTTTAAAAAAAAAAAAAGATGAGGTAAAAGAGAACCTACTGTTTGGCCACATTTCAGGGTCAAGTCTGAAATGCTAGCCCCCCAGCCCTCGAGCTCTTCCTGAAGACTCTACAGAAGCCAACAAGGAAAAGGCACACGCCACAGCTTTTACTCCAGTAACAGGGAGGCCAGTGGTGCGGACGCAGCTCATGCCCCAGGGTGACCCACTCAGCATCAAACAAGAGGAGGTGACAAACACCAGGGCTCCTGGCTTCCCGGAGGGGAATAGGCCAGGCTCCCCTCTCCCCACATGGAGCTGCAGCTTCCCGAGGACGGGGGTGAGGGTCAGCGGCAAGCCCTCTCCTCCACCAGCCTGCAAGCCCAGCTCCCGCATGGCCATGGACAAATGAACACAATCGACACGCACATGCGGTCAGCTGGGCTCCAACAGCTCACAACACAAGAGCTCACCACACACACAACATAGGCTTTTTTTTTCCCTTTGCGCATTTTTTTTCTTTTTTGTGACAGTCAGGAAATGCCGGTGCTACTGACTTATTTTTCTTCCTAAGTTGTGGCAGGTGCCCGAAAGGGCCTGAAATTTTAAACACAAAGTTCAAAGGATGGGGAAGAAAATGAACATGTCCAGCCCTTTGGGTGCTGAGCCTCATAAAATCCAAGAGCTCAGTACTTTATAAATACACACTTTACCCGAGATATCACCGTGGTCACTGGCCATCATTGTTTCTTTTCAACTACATAATACATGAAGTCATTCTTGCTGCAAAAATTCATGGGTAAGGCAGATGTCCCTCTGGAAATCAAGTCCCTCTTCGGAGATGCCTGGCAGGCGGCCAGTGGTGTGCCAGGGGGGCACATCGGACGCCACCATGGGCTCAGCCATACCAGATGCTCTGCAAGTTCAAGGAAGGGGTGCGCTCTCACCAAGGGTGACAGGGATGGGGAGGGCCTCTGCCCTCTGCCCTCCGCCCAGCATCTGTCCCTCCTGTGGACGCTGGCGGAGCAGCGGATTCTGCTGCTCCGAGGAGAGGATTCTGACCGGCCCCCATCTCGTACGGACCTCTCTTCCCGAGCATAGGGCTGGCCAGCGCACCGGGAGCTATGGGCACTGTGGAAACAACACGACTTGTTTCATTATCTTGTTTCATTTATTTATATGACATCTTGGAATGAAAGCTGTGTTAGAAAGAGCTCTGAGCATAAGGACTCTAACGCACATTTGCACATATTTAAATAGCTTTGGAATAACAGTAGCAGACTGACACGGGAATTACTTTTTTTCCAAGGGTGTACACAGACTTACAATTGCTAACCCCTGATGTGAAGGTGCCGGTGCAGAACCCACCGAAACCTGGCTGGACATCACTGGGTGCCTGAGGTTTTTCCAGCTGTAGAACTTTAACAATAGGTCCAAATGAAAAACAGGAGCAAAGAAGTGGGTCTTCACTTCTTGTTCCAATAGCAGAAAAACTCGTGATACAGATCAGCATCACAACACAAAAGGAGAGCGGATAAGCCCAATCAGACCGTCTGTCCAGTGGCCGCGGTTCCTTTGTGTGCAGAACCAAGCATGTGACAAGGCCGCGAGTCTCAGTCCTGCATGAGTCACTGGACTCCAGGTGCTGCTTGTTCTCAGATCCTGCACGTGTCCTTTACACGTGGGTGGTCCCAAGATATTCCCTGGAACAAAATGGTAAGTAACCCCAAACCGTTCCCACTCACCCATGCAGCACTCCTGAGCCACTGTGAACTTTCACTCGGGCCTGCGCGTCCCAGGCCTGGGCGGACCGCTCGGAAAATAACTTTGCTGTAACTCGCATTTTTAACTCAAGCATGAGGGACTCAAGGGCAGCTGCTCGAAGACGCGTGAACCCTGCGCCAGGCTTGGCTTCCTCGGGAGCTGCCGCAGCCCCGGCTGACGCAGGTATTCATGGCTTCTCCGTTCTCTCTGCGCAGGTCTACACGTTTACAGGCAGCAATCAGGGATGATCCCTGTGGTTGGGGTGGAACCGCAGCAACACGTCTAGGCAGGGGAAGGCGGTTTCCCGTATGCCCTCAGCCTTGCCTGGCTGCCTGGTTTCCAGAAGCTGACCTGCTCTGGTGCCGATGTAAATGACAGTGGAGCAGAGTTCACACACAACACATCCAGGTCACCTCATTCACACATCTGTATCGAGCGCCGTTGAGTGGGTAAAATACTGAGTTATCTTATCCTATGTCTTGGTTGGAGAGAAGCAAGAGATTTAGAGGTTTAGAGCTTTAGGATCAGTGTCCACACTTTAAAACCATTCTTCCTCTGACCATGAGGGTCTGTCCTGTTCCAGCAGGCGGGCATCAGTTGGACCACCTGCAACACAAAGTGACAGCATGAGCCTCCCTGCCAAGCGCATCCTGTAAGCCAGCCCGTGGGGAGGAGGGCAGGCCTGGCCAGAGCGGCTGGGGTGTGCGTGCCCATGCACAGCTTCCTTGTGGGTCTGGGAGAGGAGACAGGTGTTTCATGTATGTGTATCCTGCCCGATTCTATAATGAGTTGAGGACACAGCCTTACTGAATGGAGAATGGTGGCCATTGCTGTGGACTTCCTAGTTGTTAGAACCAAATGTCACAGCTGCAGCCAGAGGCACCCATACCCATCCTGACGCCACCTACTGAGTGCTTACTACGAGCTGACTCCCGTGGCCCTGAAGGCCAGCATCCTCCATATTCTGGGGGTCATTCCTGCCTCAACAGCTCTGGAAGTTGCCCACTGCCCTCCTTCTGAATGCCCCTCCCCAGGACGCAGACACTGTGCTACTGGCCGCTCCAGACCCCTCGAGTGGCTCTTGCATAGATCCCCCTTTCTCACAGGTGGTAGGGTTAG